TAAATTCTTTGTAGAAAAGGGAACTTCCCAGCCATCTGCCTTGCTGGCTGCCTGCAAGGCTCACACCTCGCAGGCACAAAGGGTTCCAGGCTGGTGGGGCAGCTCCAGGCTGGCAAGGATGGGAACCAAGGGGGTTCTGAGCTGGATATTCCTGTAAAATCACACCATTTGTGCATGTTGCTTGGGTTGTATCCAATATCTGAGCTCTGACAAGGAGATTTACTATCAGTTCTTGTTCTGGAGGAATGGGAAGAAAGGAGATTGGAGTTAGGATGGCTAAGGAAGGTGGGGAGTTACAAGAAGAGAGATTTATGATGTTTGAAAAGTGGGGAAAAAAGAAAACTGGAACACATATATGTGCAAATGATATTTTTATCTCATGGTTCTGCCGTGGGTTTATTGTGAGGCACAAGGGGCAGTTGTACAACTCTGTGTGAAGGCACACGAGCAGCAAGGCCTGAGCAAATCCAGCTCTGCAAAGGAAGGTTCCCAAAATAACAGCTTCAGCTGTCAAATGAGTATGACTGTTCCAAATTCCTTCCTAGGGAGTTAAAATTTCTCCTTACACTGGTGAAAGCAAATGAAAATTTTGGGTGGGATATAGGAAATTAGTACTTGCTTACAACTTCTGCTACCTCTAACAAAAATAGAATTATCTTTCTGACATTTAAAAAAAGATGATCAAACACCAAATCTATTGAGGACTGGACTATCAAGTCATGTAGATTTTGATTTGTCTCCAAATTAGAAGTCTGAAAGCTCTTCTTGGGTAAATTATATGTGTAAATATCAATGTTCTAAACTGCTGAAAGGTCACTCCTCTTTTATTTTATTGTTTAAGTCTAGAACAAATGGCAAACTCCTGCAAGGTAAACCTGGAAGGAGACACCAGCAGCTTCTTGAGCTGAAGGCAAAGACATGGCCTTAGCAATAAAGTCACCAACATAAAAAAATGTCAGGTAATTGGGAGATACAGCCCAGGACTTTCTTTTGCCCTGGTAGATATCTTCAAATTCAATTTGTCCCCATGTTCTCCTTTGAATACTATCCAGGGACCTCTTTCACTACTCAGAATGCTTCTGTTCTGCAGACCAACTGTGCAGAGATTAAAATCTCTTAGAATCATAGAATTATTTGGAATTATGTTTTTTTTTCAGTTGGTCATAACTTTTTTTCCAACCCAAGCCCCTCTACAAGTCTATGGTTCTAAGATATTCCTTGTATTTTCATACCTTTTTATGCAGTCTAATCTATAACAATTATTTCTGGGAACTTCCATTGTTGCACAGTTGGGGCAGCATTTAAAATTTACCCCAACAGCTCTTCCATCATCTTGCCTAGATGCCAAGAGGAAGGGATACATTTTTGGGATGATGTCTAAGCACAGAGATGGTAAAATTCCTTAAGATAAGGAAGATTTATTTTACATGACTTATTCAAGTCTTATTAAAAAAAAAAAATGTTGTTCCCCTTTTTTCTACAGCTGTGTTTTGAGAAATGCACCAACTTGCTCAGTGGAGTCAGAAAGAGAATTTAGTAAATAATTAGTCTGGGAGAGAGAAATCACATTACCATCCCCCTGCAACAATTCTCAATGTTTATAGGGAACTAATTTAATTGCAAATGAAGACAAATTTCTATTTCAGTCTCCATAAGTAATTACATTTTACTTGTCCTGACTCCAGTCCTGGTTGTCTGATTGCTGGACAGAGGGATTTTCTCTAGCACTGCTCTGCTGGAACATCTCAGGTGCTTTCCTTTTATGCTGACTGAGGGAGAAGGGATGGATCCAGCTGCTTCTGGATGAGTTTCCCAACACCAAGCTTGAGGCATTATCTAACAGTGTCTGGGAATGGGGAATGAAACCATGGAAATAAGAAAAAAGGGGAACAACATTTTTTTTTTTTAATAAGACTTGAATAAGTCATGTAAAATAAATCTTCCTTATCT